TGCATGTGTCTCTGCCTGCGACCCCCTCCTGTGGCGCTGCGGTGGCTTTTCATTGTTTATCTCCGGCTAGCTTGTAAGAGGGGAACTAATTAAGAGCTGCCTGCAGGTGGCCCATGCAGGCTTTTACAGGTCTGAGAGGAGGAGGAGGAGGAGGGAGGAGAAGCTGGACACACCCGGCAGGAGGAAGGGGCGACTGCCTCAGGTCACAAGATGGCAGAAACTACTGAACCAGGAGAGGTTTTTTTCTCCCCCCCTTTTTGGTGTCTTCTGGGAAAATAGAGAGGAAGAGAGGTGATTCACTTATGCAAGGAACTGTGGGAGAATAGGGGTATTACAACAGGCTGAGTATATAACAGATAGCACACAATCGATACAATCGCCTAAACAAGGCCTTCCTCTGTTTGTGGCCTAAGAAGTTTAATGAGAAACATTTAGTCATTCTCTAAGAGGGTAAATGTCAATCTTCTGCGCGGAGCATTTCATATCAGCGAGCCTGGCGGTGGTTTGTAATGGATTCAGTTGGCAGTCAACCGGTAAATCATAGAACGTTTCATCCTCACACACACACACACACAACAAAGGAAAAAAATCATAGCAAAATCAGTCTTTGTTTATACAGAGGCAAGTAAACAAATAGTAGAAGTGGTGTTTACAGTAACAAGGAAAGAACTATGTTGACATTGGTGGAACAAGTGTTTGTGCTTTTTTACTATTTTCTCTTTTGAAATATTTTAGAAAATCCAACAAACCATAAGCTGGTATTAAATACACAAACACAGCAATTAAAAAAAGATGACTCAGAGAAGGAAAGTTTGCTTGTGTGTGTGTGTGTGTGTGTGTGTTTGTGTACAGTAGGTGTGCGTGTATGTTTTGAGTTCAGGGGAGCAAAAGAGATGATTGCGTGCGGACACTGCCCTCCACCACTTCCTCTTCAGAAGCCCAGAGACGTCACAGCCAGCTGTACTGATGCCTCTCTCTCTCTCTCTCTCTCACACCACACACACAAACACATGTGGAGGGCAGTCTGCTACTGCAAAGTAAAAGCAAACAGAATAACGTTCCAGCCCATGCTGTCACAGAGATACAGGCGATAAAAGAAATATAAAAATAAAATAAAATAAAATAAAAGATCAGCACTTTTGTCAAAGTGACATTCAGGCTGGGGTTAATGGAGGAACTGCAAATCTGAAAAACTGACATAGTGTGTGTGCGTGCAAGTTGCCTCAAGCAGCATGGGTGGATGTGGTAACTGTCCGCTGAAATCAAGATAAGGATGCCAAATGACAGTGCTGTCCCTGGTGGCGTGACACCACAGGCAAAACAAACCAGCTGTTATGGGAAAGCACCCAGCATGGCCCAAATCTCAGCTAGGCCGTTAGAGCGGAGTTGTGGGCACAGAAGCCGTGCAAAGTATACAAATAGACACTGAGTGTCTGCAGCTGGAAGACTTGCTCACACACACACACACACACACACACACACACACACACACACACACACACACACACACACACTGGCATTTACAGCCAGTGGTCCCACACCCTCAAGAGCATGCAACCATGCCAAACACATGCACTACAAAGTTTAATTAAAAAACTGTTTTCCATGAGAGCAAAATAAAAAAGTTTAAATTTTTTAACATGATTCCGGGGGCACGCAGTTTCAAACTACTGGCAGAAAAAGGGACCACATGCTGCAGCTGTTATTTACTGATTTAGATACAAACCTGCATAATGTAATTCCCTGGATAGTAGACTTACAAAAAGGTTATATTTATCATCATAACAACATGGAGAAGATTCCACTTAAACATACACAGGGCTGCTTTTTGGCGTATTATACATTCATGTTTTATGCATACTATAAAAGAGAAGTGCCATCTTGTGTTTGGAAAACAGCGTCTGTCCTAGACATGGCGAGTGTGTTTTTTTTTCAGTATGTTCCTTGCTTAACAAGCTCATACCTGAACATTTTTATAGAGTTCTCATTGCCACTTAAGGGGCACTTTGGGTCTCACGGTCTCTGACGGTAATAAGCATGGCAGATGGTGGGTCGGAGATGTAACGTACCATCTTCCAACTATGCAAACCATTTTTTCCTGCCATCGGGGTTCACTTTCAAATGTCCATACACTAACACACCTCTAATCTATTCATGCCCTCCTTTTCTCACTTTGTCATACTGTTGCAGAGAGTCACAATAACATAGTTGAGAGATTCAATAAAAAATAAACATTCAGTTTAAAGGAGCAATGTGTTAGATATCTACTGAATTAAATAATAAAATCACCTTACTGTGTCATCAGACATGAAGGTAACATGCTATGTTGAAGTGCTGGTTTCTCTGACAACAATGCAGCAGCCAGTATGTCCTCCTTCTATGTTTTCATTCTGATCCTGAATGATCTTTGATCTTATTTGTTTTGACCAGAGAAGGTAGGTGGTTTTAAGGCACCCTCACATGGCCGTGTTGGTTGCCCCCTGGTTTGCCAGGCAAACAGCAAGCCAACAGGTGTTGCAGCGATGGAAGTAGGCAAGCGAGCTGTCATGGCAATCCGCCTGCAACATCGACTCTAGAGGGGAGGGGGTGGGGGGAGAGACAGCTCTTTCCAATGTTTTGAATTTTTGATACAGTACCAGCCCCCCGCAACCCTGTACGAGGAAAGCGGCATAGATAATGGATGGATATGGTACGTATTTTTATGCAGATACCTTAATTTCAAAGACAAACATACCTGGGTTAAAATAAAGAAATCCTGATTCTAACAGACATTTAATCCTGAAATATGAGAAACCAAAGTCATATTTTTCCGAAGTTGCAGAGCTTGTCCGTATAAAATGGTTAAAGTTTTGAGTTTTTAGCAGTGGCTTTATGGTTTCTGTGTTGTCAGTTCACATGATCTATGGTCAGCAGACGAGATCAGTGAGGATGGAAGGATGGAGATTGAGAAAAAGAGAAAAAGGGAAATAGAAGAAGAAAAGTGAGAGAGCCGGTACAGTACCTTGTGGAATTCAAATGCTGTGCAGAGAAAGAGTCCTGGACCGATGCCACGAAGGGGCAGGTCAAAAAACTGCAAGAGAGAAAACGTGTCTGCTGCTCATAAGTCTCACTTTACTGCTAAAAATGATTGTCTTCATATTTTTATTAGAATAAAGAGACTTGGTGACCCTCTGAAGGTGAAGAGCATTCTATCATCTTTCAGATATTTTGATCTAAACCTGGAAATCAAGGGGGGAAACCGAGGGGGGAAACCGAGTCCGTAGCGACCCTACATGGTAAGGACTCTGTGTTCCCCCGAACAAAAGGTGGACTATACTTTTTTTGTCTTCAAGAGTGTAAGGAGAGGAGAAAGTAGAAGGAATGGGACAAGCTGAAAACTCAATCGACTGAGGGACTGGAGGAACAAGGATGCAGGACTTCAACATGCAGTTATTAACAACATCTATGAAACACGTCTGAAATAAAAGGATAAATAAACACACATGCAAGTTTAGTAACAAAAAGGCACTTTTTGAATGAAAGACAGACAGAATAGCTTTTAGCTTTTAAATTTTAAAGTATTGACAACTCCAAGCAATACGATTGAAACATAATAATTGAAACTACCATTAAAAAACTAAATCTGTTAATCCAAATGAACTGAAATAAACAAAACTCGCATTACAAACAAAGTAGAGCCCCACCAATTAATCGGCCGGCCGATAATATCGGCCGATATTAGCATACCCAGTGACTATCGGTATCGGCTAATTTCATCGCTGAAATTACTAGATTTATTCACAAGTCAAATAGCATTTCATTTGAGTTTCATTGTATTAAACTAGCAGTTCTCTTTCTTGCTGTCAGCAGCAGAGTGTGTTATTTAGATTACAACAAACATTATCACTCTACGAAGTGTCAAGCAGTGACACATGTACATGCACAATTTCTTTCCAGTTGAATCACCATCTTGTCTTCCGAATACTATCTTATCCACAAATGTTTGATAACTGAATTTGGGGCATCAACACAAGAAATGGGTTTATCGGCTGATATTTGGTATCCGATTTTTTTCTCCCCACAAATTCCCTATCGGTCAGGCCCTAATACAAAGACCCAATACAAATATTAAAAGTACAGAAAGACATTATGTTACTTGATGTTTAGTTTTAGGAACATTAAGCTGTCACTGTGTTGGATGTTTATAATGGATTAACAACTTCTGTAGCCAAGCCCGCTGTAGCATTCAAGGTAATTTAAAGCCAATAATCTATTGAAACATCATTCCTGCATTTATTCCTGTGGGACTTTCTATTACCTGCTTATCTGAAAGAAAAGATGCTGCATGACTCGGCCTCAAATGAAAAGCAACTCTAGCAGTCTAAATTAGCCTGTTTACATGTTGTCAGTGCAAAGTCTTTTCACTCTGCTTCTATGTGAACACCTCTAAACACAGACTATTGTGTAAACTTTTGAGAAAAAAAAACTCACAGTGCCAGTATTTTGGTCTGGTGAAAAGAAACATGAGTTAAAATATAAATAATGGGGATTTCATTGCTTTTAGAGTTGTCATTAACATGCTCTGCTGCAGCACGTTAGGAGGAAAAAAACCATTGAAACTCATTCACAATTCACACACTAACCAGCAGCAGCTGATTCTCAATCCAATGAGGGCATGTAGCGACAAGCCATCCGGTACCTTAACATGTCCAACAACCCATTGAGAGGGATTTCTTTGACATTTCCCTCTAGACTAAAGGGATAATCCCCTTTATAACTCTGTGTACCTGATATGGCCTGGGCCCTCGAGAGTCTCTTTAACCCTCGAGAGAGTTCAACAAAACAGCTTCATTTAGAGAGCGGCTAGAGGGGCTCTCTAGTCTCACAAAGGGCCTCTAGGCAGAATGACGAGGAGGCAAATCAGTATTATATGGATGAGAGAATGGAGGTCAGTGCAGGGTGATGGACTGGAGAGCGATGGAGGCTCCAGAGAGGAGAGAGGGGACATGTTCAGGACTTACTGAGTTTTGGCGTTCAGCACGGGCTGGGGCATGTCCTCGCTCATGTAGTCCAGCTCATCTGTTATGCTGTTAGCACGGGAGAAGCTGATGGAGGTGCTGTGATCAAGATTCTTCCTGACTGCAGAAGACAGACAATTTGGAGACAATTGTTAGTGCAATCGTATCAAATGACGAGCTGTCTAAATGTATAATAGGTCTGCTTCATTTATACATGAGATGGTTGTTTTTTTACTTATCAATGTTTATGTGAGTGAACAAAGTGGTAGTTGGCAGTGAGAAGGAATACGAGCATAAAGACTACGATATGAAAGAGGGATTCAGTTCTCATTGCACAGAGTCAGGTCAAGACAAATGGAAAAAGTACGGAAGCCCTGAGAGGCTGAGAATCAAAAAAAAACTCTTGTGATTAGTTGTCCAAATTTAAATAGCTTGCTCTCTTATGTTTATGTCTCAGTTTATGTCCCTGAATGTGTGGGGGAAAGGTTTGCCCTGTTTGAACTCGTGTCTGTTGATCGTTGCACAATGTGCATTGAGAACAAAGGCAATCTATTGTATTCTATTGCTTTATATTTTTACTGCTCAAAAAAATGTAAAAAGTAATTCAGACAATGATCCAACATAAATGAATCTCCCGCTAAAACATTTTTTTTCAGCTTGTTTTGCAGATAGACAAATATGTTTTAAGGAACTTAGAAAATAAAAACAATATTGAGAACAGCTTTAGAAAATGAATCACAAGATTTTTTTCACCCTTCCCACCCATGGTTTCTATATTAAGGGGATCAATGGCAAAGTAAACAGACTGACGCTGAGCGCACAATGTATTCAATAGTAAGTACGAGTTATCTGAAGGGAGACTAAAAGAAGCAGAAAGATACCTGGAGATCCAGGGCAGCTCAGAGTAAAAGATGACCAAGAATGCTGAGGAGGGCCTGATGCCATCGGAAAAAAAAACAGAAAGAAAGAAAGAAAGACAGAAATCACTGAATTCAATTATATTACTCTTAAAAGATGCTGAATGTCTATTTCAGCTATAGAAAAGTTTTCAGTATAAAAAAAAAAAAAAAAGTCTTTTGACTGTTTATGCGAGGAAACAGAGACTGCAGTGCTGGCATTCAATGGTTCAGCCGGCTGGCTGCTGTTTCTGCTAAAAACAACAGCAAAGAATAACATGTGTAGCCGGGTCTTGACCTGCAGTCAGACTGTCAACGTCTGAGTTTGACAAGTCTCTCCTCCAAACCACCAGGCCTCCATTGTGATAAAGAATGGAGGCAAATCTGTGTCCAGGAACAGAATGAACCAGTCCAATTCAAGCTAAACCCATTCATCCTCTCTTGTATTCCATCACTGAGTTTGTTTGACTTCGTCCAATCCGGAAGGAAGCACATACAGGGATTGAGAGAAAGAGAAACGTGAGAGAGGGAAGGGGGTAAAACGAGGTCCAGCAAGAGCCATCTTTAGCCTCAACTGCAGACAACAACTGGCTTATCAGCTACATATACAGAAAAAACAAATATGTAGTTTATCTGATGCATCAGTGCAAACGTGCTTGGTCGGGGGAGAGAGAGAGAGAAACAGTACAAGTCCGATAGAGGTGGAGAGAGAAAGAGAGGGAGGGAAGGGGGGGGCTCCATTGAGAGATTCTCACAGACAGAGAGGTGGGTGAAGCCAGACAGATAAGTGGAGCGATAAGCCGAACACTGACTAAATCAAACAATGGGCAGTTTATTTCTGACCACTGGAGCTCCACAATGGCTGCTTATCACCTCCACATCCCTCCTGTCTCCCTCTCATTTTTTGTCCCAGTCGAGGTCCCCACGGTTCCCTCGGCCCCTGTCCATTCGTACCCAGGCCAGCCCTGTTCCTCACCCGTGGTGTTGGCAGGGCACCCAGTAAAGAAAACAGGCCAGGACAGCTCATGACCAGAGTCTGAGTCTCTGTGCTTGGCTCTGGTTTGGTCCGGTTGGGGACAAAGGCCCAGCCAGCCTGGGAGTCTAATTAAAATAGTGTCTGGGCCACATTAAAAAGGCAGGCTAGTTAATGATTAACCCAGAGCAGTTTTTTTAATAGGAAAGAGCTTAACCAGAGGACAGCGCTCCTGGTTAGACATCACAGTGATCACATATATAGACTCAGCCGCTGACTTTGTTTGGATTGAGAATAATAGGGATATAAAAGAGGCCACGTTGTAGTTTTTATAGCACTTGGATTTTGGTTTTACTTATTCATCAACAAACTAAATTATGGGATGCAAACTTCAGGGAACAGTCATAAGAGGAAGCTTCATCTCTGTAACAAAATGTCATAACCCAATCCATGGGATCCCATCTAGTGCACCTTAACAGTGATAGAAATAGGACTCACCTGTTTGTCTGAACATTCTGGTCATTCCTGCAAAGAAAGGTGAGATTCTGTTAGGTCAGCAAAATGGAAAGGCAACACAACAGCACCAGTATAGATCACCAAACAGAGATCACCTCTATCACTTTTATTTAAGGTCTTATTTAAAGTGACAATAATCAAAATACAAAAACATCAAATAAAAATATTGTTACATGAATCTACAGACAATCATTAACTGAATCTGGAAGTCCTCTCCCGTCCAAAACTTTATTGCTCTTGGTTCACTTCACAACCCGAAAGGCATGGTTCATTTAAATGTTTTGATTCTTGGAATGGGGTTGTAGGTACTTGTTATTAGTAAGTATATCAGCCACGGGAGATGCCGGTCAGCGCATCCCTTTTATTGAGAAACCAGGCAGGGAAGCTAGGCTATACGACTTTGCAGACGGGCAATTTATACCACGTAATTTAACTAATTGTAGGAAAGACGGTCCTAGAAAACAATAATGATGTAAGTGTAAGTTGTATTTAAGAAATCTTTCAGCGAGCGAGTTCACCACCAGCAAGCTGCTTTTTTTTAGTACTACTCCACCATGTCAGCATTTTGGATCTGCAGGACTCGAAAGAGAACAAATACAACCATACTAAAACTATGGTCAGTGAAAATCAGTGATTTTTACAGAGATGTTATCCTTTAAAGCATCGTTCCAACAGGCAGCCATGTTTCTAAATAAAATCTGTGATTATATTTGCTCACAACTTCTCACCCCTGCCCCAAAGTGGCCTAAAAAAAACTCTTCTCTAACTCTACTATTTCAGGTTTAAAGATAAAAAGGAGTATCTTATTATTGCTCCATTTGAAACCCCCACAGCAAAATCTAATTTGCTATATAGGACAAATATTTTATGAGGCATAATAAACCTTGATGCATGTCATGCTTATATGATGCCAGGCCTGATGATGCCACTGATCATCATCAGCAGCTGTTTAAAATGAAAGCTAAAAAAAATGATGATAAAATAAAGTAAAAAAAAAAAGAAAACAGCAGTCGTGAAGCAGACATTAGCTGAAGTTTCAGATATGTGTTTCAGCGAGTCTGTGAGCAGACAGTCCCGTGCTGTTTTGACTCTCCACATTATCATTAGAGACAGCAGGTTTGGCCTCTTTAAATGGTTTATGCCATTCAAAGTCTCAACATGTGCAAGATTCTATTTTCAAAACATTAAATTATAAAGACATACGATCTACATTTTACAGCTTTATTTTATTGCTTGTAAACATGTAAATATAAATATACAGTATAATGGATAAAATGTGTGTTGTTGTTTTTACTGCTTTGACCTTTAAATTGTGAGCTTTTTCCACATGCACACATGCTCTGCTTCATTATATGGATCCAACCAATTAGGCAGGAAACTAAACAAGTTTTCCCCTCATAAGCGGTTGCTCCTCTGATGGTGTGCCTTAAAGCCTCTCCAGCTCCCTTTATGATGGCACGCCTTGACAGGAAAAACTCATAAAGTGCATTTATTAACCTGCAGTCTGGGTCAATTCCATCAGAGGGGATGGCTTTTAACACAGGAAGAGAAACCACCGCCCCCTTTAGAAAGCAGCCATCGATCATATACTTTGAGCGGAGACCTGTAACTAAAAAACGGACATAGTTTCTGTGTTTATGAGTGAGAGATGGGAACAATTACAAAAAAAAAAAAAAAAAGATTTTAGATATATCTGTTGACTGAATTATTTGATACACACACAATCATTTGGTCCAAGCATTTTCAGCCTTAGGATAAAGAAAAAACAGGACACAGCTTTGGCTTGACTGCATAAACACTGATAATCTGCAAAATGGTATAACAAGAAATTTCCAGCTTGTAACCTTGAAAAGCCTGTATTTGAAGTTTTTCCACTCAAGCCCAGTTCAAGGGTCTGTGGCCAGCAAAGGGGACAAGTGAAGCAGTAAAGAGCAACCATGACCTCTAACCACCACAGACAGTAATGGCTTCCATCTGTCCCACTGAAGACACCTGGCAGCCATCTTTGGTCTAAGAGGATCAGAGGAGGGCCCCTGTTTACTGTGTGAAGAGGAGAACATAACTCCACCTATTATGTGTAATGGCATCCTCTGTCTGGATAACCTGAGATAACATGGAGTAGCTCTTCAATAACCCACGTTTAAAGAAGTTTGACAATTCTGTTATTAATTTGTAATTTAAGTTATAATAGAATTTACAATCTATATATTTTTTGATGTTGAATTTGACTGAGAATCCACAGCAATGCTAACTGCTCTGTGAGGTTATACTTGGGCAATGTTTGGGCTAGCTGCTAATGTCAATAAGCTAATATTCATGTGAGGATTATGTAAGAACACTGCTGTTTGGCAGGTAGAATATTAACCATGTAAGTTAATTATATAAGCACGAGAACAGGAATTGATGAGGCCTCAATGTCTGATAATTAGTAGACAACTTGAAATACTGACCAACAATGGCTCGAAATGTAAACTATAATGTCAGCACCCAGTATCATAATGTGGGGGACAATAATGTCTGTACCCATTAGAACAGAAATAAACATTAAACTTTATAGTTGGGTCAGAGGAAAATTCCCAGTATAGTTTGTAACATTATACATTACTGAAGTTTAATTTATTCATTGTGTCTTTAATGTCTTTACTTCTGTGTTGATTTAAATACCATAAGCTTTTCACTGTTGGAGTCTTCTGTGTGATATTCTCATCCTCGGGCCGTAACACTAGTGAGGTCACACCCTAACCCTCAGCAGTTCATGGCATGCCCCAAGTGAGATGATAAAAGTTGTGAAGTTTTAATCTTTTGAGGTGATACAACGAGATTTATGTTGATAGATTTTGTTTAGATATTAAAAATATCTGAATGCGGAGAAGAAAAAAAAAAGGTTCAGAGAGATGTTGGTGTCTTTACTGCACTAGCTGTTACTTTGTCATGTCCTCAACATGTGATCTAATGCCAGCTGGTCTCAAAGAGTAATAAAGCTGCAAAGATAACCTCGAGGTAATAATCAACGCAAATCATAAACACCCTCACAGAGCATGAGGGTGAGGGGACGAGTTTTGGAACTAAAATTTGGTTATGAATGGGTTTAAACTGAGGTCAGCGTGTGTAATGTTGGCTACTTTGTGGGATTAAGTTGTTGGAAGAAAGGCTGCTTATGAGATAAAACAATTCCTTTTAAAAACATTTATTTTGAGGTAGTGGAGCTTTGACTGAAAATGTAGCAAGTCCATATATTATATACTTGATGTGTATTTGATCTAATTGTTTACCTTATATGTTCCTACCAATAAAATGAAAGCAGTGATATTTACAGATTATTACCTTCAACTGGTCCTCCAGGCTGTTCCAGGAAATACGAGGCGTCTTTCTTCTCGTCAGAGTCGTTGATGTGATCGTAGGTGATCTGTGGGATGGAGACAGTCTGCTCTGATGCCACCATGATAGAGTCGTTTCCTCTGGACTTCAACCTCCTCTTGGTCCCTTTTTTCTAACAGACAGAGAGGAAAAAACGTCCAATTTAATCTTTAAAAAGTGTGTGACTAACATGGTAATATAAAGCGATCACAGGGGCGCTGGTAGCCTCGTGGTTAGTGCGCGCCCCATTTCAACAGGCTAAAGTCCTCCAGAGAGGGAGGCCAGGGTAAATCCAACCTGTGGCTCCTTTCCTGAATGTCATTCCCCACACTTTCCCCCCCGATTTAACAGCATTAATAGCATACCTAAAGAGCCAATCTAATATTTTTTTTAAATACTAATTTAAAGCAGTGGTTCCCAACCTTTTTGGGGCCTATGACCCCACTTTGAGTTTACAAAACTCTCAGGACACCAGAGACATCCAAAACACATACAGCTTTGTGCTACACATTTAGGCTATATCAGGTACAATATTGTGGCTGGGGAAGAAAGGCCAGGATGAGATTTTCCACCACAGTTCAGTCAGTTCATGTAGTGAAAAATTAAAATGTTTCATGATTGTCACGAACAAGATTAATTTCTGCTCATGTTAAGAGAAGCGCTGCCTTAAAAATGTTCCTGTAGTTTCCGTCATTCATGTATCCATTCTGTAGACATGAGGTCAGAATATGACAGTGTGAGCAACAATTTCTGGATTAGATTTTGACCTCCTCTTCCTCTGTTGTCAGGGGAAGAAGGCAAAATCATTAAATACAGAATGGATATGTTTTGTGAAGCTCCACAATTAGCTAGTTTATGTCACTTCATTCAAATAAATCCTACTGCAAATAATTCATACTCAAGTGGACATGCACCTCTTTTCCTCTAGAGTCAAGTTTGTAACACCATAGCTAATATTCAAAGTGCTAACCTGCTCAAACACCTTCATAGCTCAGGTGATTTGTTACACATTAAGCATCCATTCCAGCAAAAAAAAAAGCAGCTCTCTCTGAACAAACACTTGAAATATCAAATATCGAAAATTACGCTTACGTACTGATGACATCAGCTGACCACATTTAACAAAAAGTTTCTTCCAGTGAGATCATGGCAATGTGTTGAGTTAGTCTGGGGTTTTCTAAAGACCTAAGTGTTGCCTCGAGTCCAACCCTCAGACCTGTTGACCCACACCGACGTCATCAACATGACCTTTATAGAAACTCAGTTATTTGGACTCAGCGGATCAGACTCTGGCATTGACAACTGGCCAGCAGTTCAATCCAAATACCCGAGCTTTGAATGACTCATTAGTAAAGTGGGTGAGAGAAGAGGGTGGTGGAGAGTATCAAAGGACTGAAAGAGAGAGAGAGAGAGAGAGAGAAACAGATGGAAGACCAAGAAGAAGCTTTATTAGCTAATGAGTTAAAAACAAAGAGCAGGAAGAGATGAAAACAGGTTATAAGAATGAGAGGAAATAGTAAAGACAGGAAGGGAAGAGAAGATGAAAGAAAATCAAAATAAAGTCAGGAGAAGACAGAGAGGAATCTTAACAGACACAGTGAGGGGAGCAGGAGGAGAGTCAGAGGAGAAAGTCACGTGCTTCAACAGAAAGAAGCGGAAGCAGCCATCAATCTCCCCAATACATGTGGGTTCAATGCTACACAAAGATTTTTTTGTAGTTGTTCTACTAGACAAAGGTTTACTCCCATGAGAAAGGCGGCAGTGACATCATCTCAACTGACTGAGGCTTTGTCCGGCCGAGACAAAGGCCTCGAGTCATCCTGGTGGAGTCCGGCCTTTCTGGTGGAAGGGGGGGGGGGCATCTGTGTGTGTGTGTGTGTGCGTATTGGAGTGTTTTGTGTGCATTGTGCGTTCTTCCCTGTGTGTGTATGTTTGTGGGAACTTAACTTGCCCTTTTATGCTTTATGGCCGAGGCACGACATAGCTAATATTGTTGTGAAAGGTGAACTGCACAAGGGGACAATGCGGTGTGGGCCAGACGGATGCAAATCAGCCACACAGTGTCACAGCCTGCCGGCTTTTTTTGACAACGCTCCTTTTGTGGACGTCACCTTCACTTCAAAGGATTCTTTCAAACATGTTTGAGAAAAGAAAATGTCCCCATACACAGAGGACTACCACATATTTATGATACCTTTAAAAAAAAAAAAAAAAAAAAAAGTTACGACCAACCAGGAAATAAGCAACTAAAAGGTCACTTGTCCAAGATTCAAAAGATTGGGCGTTGTTATTTTGCAGGCTGGGGTTAAAAAATGTCCTGCTGAACCAGATAATTACCGATAAGTTGAGTTTCCTGACGTAAGGGCTGGATTCAGGTTCCACCTGTGTGACGGCCTCTGGAGTGAGAACGTACATCTTCCATGTCGCAGCACAGCCGTTTGGTTTCTCTGCTGAGTAGCACCTCCAGAGTGTCTGAGAAGGACAGGAAACAATGTTACTCAATGGTCCACATAACATGTAAAAAATAAGCCAAATGACAATGCAAGACATGCAGCATTATGGGCCACAAATTCATGTGTTTAAAGGAGATCTATTGTACTGTACTGACTTTCACTATTGAACATGTCAGTCTGGGACACCTATTGAGAAGCATTGTGAGATGCGTGGCTCAAAAACCTCAACTTATTTATCTGATACTCGCGTCAGTAAAATCCCTCATGTCATCCTCAGTCTGAAATGGTTCATTTCTTTAATATAAATTCCTGTATATAAAGTTCATTGGGGAAATAACTCTTGCTACTGATTCCTATGTTGACCCTTTATTTTTTTATTTTCAATGTGCATTACTCTCCACGTGTTCCTTGTCATTATCTTTAAAGTAAGTCACATGTTAAACATATAAGACAGATGCATGTTATTGTCAAACAGTTTTGTATAGTCAGCGTTCAGCAGACATAAAGTGTCTTTGTGTCACAGGTGTGTCTGCGGCTGTGTCTCAGTTTGTTCCAGGTCAGTGTACTCCTTACAGTGTTGGGCTTTTTGCGACGCAGCTAATTATTCTTCTACAATTTCGCTCCTGGCAAAAAAGGATAGAGCCACCCTTAGGCATAGGCATAGCATTGATTTTTTTTTTCCCCCTTCGTTAAGATTCCAATGATTGTTGAACTCACAAGATCCAGAAAGTGCAAGTTTACACCTCTCCAAAAAGTCTGTGCAGATTCTGCAGCATTGTTCATGGTTGTGTTAAGAGCCTCATGTTAAATCATTGAGGGACTGTGTCTGAGCAGGTTTTAAATGTACACCTTGTGGATTACAACACTACATTTCATAAAACAAAGATGCTTTGGTTAAAGGCTAAAGTGTACCTGTATGAGGCAGGCTGCTGCAGGGATCTGTCTGTTGAAGTGCTTCTGTCTCTGCTTCTGTTGGACTTTCAGAGCAAAGCCTGAGCCCAGGATACCCTGAGAGGGGAGAGGAAGGGAGTATTATATCTACTGATACTGCAAGATTTCAATTTAACGTTGTAAGACTCAGTGTCAAGGTTGGGTGCAGATGCAGTATCTGACAAAAAATGAACTCTCATTTTCTGTGCTCACATTAGTTACAGTTATTAACAGAAACTTAAAAAAAATATTATATTTACTCAAACAAGAGCATTTTACAAAGTTGTGTTGAGCATATTAGAAAAGTTGAATACATCTAAAATCACATTTTCATAATTTAATCAAATTCATTAAAAAAAAAAATCATATTTATTTACAGCAGGCAGAGCGAAGAAGGAGATAGCGAAAACACTGAAGCAGGAGGCGATGGCTTTTCCTATCCACGTCTGAGGGATTTTGTCTCCGTAGCCAATGGTGGTGACAGTCACCTACAAACAGAAACAAGAGGAAGGGTCTTTTTGAACAATTAATATTATCATATGCAGATTTAGAATATTTGAAGGATTAATCCTGTAACATTTAAGGCTCTTTACTGATGCAGAGAAGTCAGGACATTTTAAAGTTAAAGTTAAAGTCACTTCTGAAGAACTGTAGAGGGTTTGGAGATGATGGGGAAATGTCTTCAGGAGTTTTAACAAAGTCCTATTGCCTTTTTTAGACTCTTAACTTAATAGTAATACTTATTTTTTTCCTGAATAAAAGTATCTAACTGATCTAAGTCTAACATAAACCAAACAGTTGATAATAACAAATATGTCCGCCATTGCAGAGCTCTCCAAGCTTTACCCTTCAGTCTATAACAGAAGTTTCATAATAAAATATTAGTTCATCAGCCGTTCCTTCTTTACAACTGTCAGCGATGTTTGGGGCATTTGAATAAGGGGCAAAGGGAATAAGATTCCCGACCACTAATCCTCAGTGAGTGTAGGAATTTTCTTGGTTGAGGGAGGGGGGGAAACAAATACCTCTTGCATTTGCATGTACACCCACTCTGAAAGGCGAGCCAATTCTGACACATTCAGAGTACACTTGGCTCACCCAGGGTGTCTATGGGGGTATCGGCGTGTGAGCCGCTGCTGTGCGCTAACACAAAGCGGCTGATGTAAGGTGAGATACTTAAAAGGGCTGTTGGAGTTAAAAAAAAAAGAAAAAAGAAAGGAGAAGAAGAAGCAGGGGCGGGAAAGGTGGGGAGGAGTGGGGTCTAATCCCTCAACCAGAAATACGATGACTAAACAATGTCCTGAGACTATCAGAGTGGAATGGCCTACTCAAAAACACCCGTCTTCTTCAGATTGTAGGGTGAGAGGCAAAAACCTTTTTTGTTTTTTGTCTCCACAAAGGTCACAGACCAGGCCTTTGTTCATGTGTAAGTGTGTGTGTAAGTGCATGTCTACATGTATATAAACATGCTTATAAGGATGCTGTTTGGTGATTACACTCAATTCATTTAGTCAAAAAGTACGACAAGAACATTTGCAAATATGGCACGAGCAAATTATCTTAGCTTGCCGTTCACACTATGTTCTCTTTCAGTTAAGTTAGGTTTAAAAATTCAATTCGTAACAACAGGCAAACGGAAAAAAGACAAATGAGTGGGGGAGGTGAGAGAGAGAGAGACAGAGAGAGAGAGAGAACAAAGTAGGTAGAGAGAGAGAGAAGGGGATATGAATCATTGCATCGGCTTGTCCTCCAGCTGCGTGCTCTGCACCTGCACATCAGAATGTGGAAATCACAGCGAGAGAAGGAATTCACCCTGGGAGAGCTCACAGCTTCCAATTAGCTCACTCTCACTTCAATTAATACACACACAACACATACTCAAAGACATGCACACTCAAACCCATTGTAATAGCATATGATCACTCTCGAGTTGGCATTCTCAAAAAAAAAAAAAAAAAAAAAAGGAGCAAATCTCGAGCAGTTATTCATTTTCTCAACCTTGTGAACGGATCAACACAAATAACAGCTTTTCTCCGACTTTCCATGGAAGCGGTGAGGAGCATTGTGACCCCTGTAACCCTTGTTACATAAAGGTAGTAATCCCCACAATTAAAGTTTTAATTAAGGGAACTGACACTTTATATTGGTGCTCTAAAAGTTCTTTCAGCCAGAGCCCAGAGGTGAATGGTTTATTGCTGTGTCTTTGTGGCACGCTGATCCCTTGCACAAGGCTGCCATAGGTTTCTCATTACTCTGCGCTTTCAATTCAAATGTTTAATTAACTGCTGTGGAAACCCGAGCCTCTGTACTGAGGGACGTAAGCAAAAGCAGCTCTATGCACACGGGAAACGTCAGCACTCCTGCCTCTGTGTTGAATGTTGCAGCGACACATTGCGTGCTTAAAACACAAGGAGGTCATAATTGGTCTAACCAGGGTGGCCAACATCTCCATTTTTTCTGATTAAGACTCCACTTCAGAGGGCGTTGTGCTGATTATTTGTTACAGCTCTCTGGGGAGAAGAACATTTTCTCCATGTACATGTGATGTGGCCTTTCAAGAATGATAAGTATGTTGAGAAGTTCAAGTAGCATTCAAGGGACCCTGGTAATGTATGCAAAGCAGAAAACCAAATTTGGAAAAACATTCTCATACAAATCAGCAGAAATGAGAACAAGAGCATCAGTGAAGGGCTTGCTTTGGGTGCCTTACCACGCCCCACCACAGGGCATCGGCGTAGCTGGAGAAGCCGGTCTTGCCCTCCTCATCCACGGCATCTTTCTCAGCCAGGTAGACAAAGTAGGAGGAGAAGATCAGGCCCAGGAAGCCGATGTACAAGGTGGTGATCAGCTCCTGAAAACCGCATTACAGAAAACCATTTATGAAAATGTATTGTGTAAAAAGAAATATAACAAATGGGTTTGTGGCGATGGCAAGACGATGGACATGTTGCAGCACAAGCTGGAGCTGAGTAGACATCGCAGCTCGAGCAAAGGACAATTCTGCCCACCGCTTCTGCTTAATGGTGCATTCTGATTCATAACTTCTTCATGCGAATGCGAGGGGAGAGGGGTTGGAGGTGTGTCGCTGGAGGAGAGCGGAGGCTTCAGAATAGTAGAGGTGTGGCCTAACAGCAGTTTGTTTTGGTTTAATGCCGGTGCTCAAGGGGACGGCATCTACTGGATCAAAGTGTTGCCCATTCTTCAACACAAAATCTATTAAACAACAACTTAAGTGATTTTAAAAAGTGGCCTGATTCGTTAATGTATTGATTTATTTTTGATAGGTATTTCAGTACATATTGTATACTGTAAATATAATGCTAAATAAAGCTCTGATTTTAAGGCCTAATGAATTTGAATGCATCTGAAATACTTATCCTAATGTGCTGAGGTTTTTCCTTGTCTTCTCCCTTAGACACATCTAAAGGCCCTACATTTCCACTAAACAGAGCACATCATTTGCTTAAGTGGTCATATGACAAAGGAGAGAGATGGCAACAAATCAAATGAGGTTCATCTTTGCTTCATACTACATTTACTTCCTTGATCTTTGCACGCGATGCTCACTGACTGTTCCCGTTCTTTTTATGCATCAAAGAGACAAAATGTCAGGTCGAATATAACTAAAGAACACAGGTCTACTCCAGGGATTAGGAAGAGAGTGTTACATCCTGTGACTTTGTTGTGTATCAGCCCGAGAAAATATATATTTATTAAAAAGAGCGTACCATGCTACAAGGAAAAAATGAAGAAGGCAACTTTGACATCTCTTTTCTTCTCCTTATAAAGTCAGGTCTGCTGCATGCTTTTCTGTGCACCCATCCAAAATAAATGATGCACCGGTAGCCAAGCGGTCTATGTACAGATGCTTAAGTCCTCGAGAGCAGACAGCCCGGGTGTGAATCCGACCTGTGGCTTCTTTTCCCACACAACCTTTCCCCACTCTTTCTCTCTCCAGTTTCTGACTCTATCCACTGTCCTATCTCTAAAAAAAAAAAAAAGGCATAAAAAGCCCCAAAATATATCTTAATGAAAATATAATAGTTATAAATAAAGGCAAAAACTGTATATTGTCATTCTAATGAGCTATACAGACATAAAGGCACACACAAAAATGAAGGTGTTTGTTCAAGTCTAAAGGGTGCCAACCTTTAACCTACCTGTCGATGGATAAAAACTACAGAACCCAGAAGCCTCCATGTTCCTCCCTGTCGATCAACATGCAGCATGCGCAGGATTTGGAGGAAACGGATGCCCCTGAAATAACACAACAGCTCCGTATTTGTCTTACCATCTTCTGATTGCCCCTTAACTTTGAAAAAAAAAGAATCAAATGCTGAACATAATAGTGACAGTACCTGATGGCAGATGTGGCAAAAACTTGTCCGTTGGACCCCACACCGAGCACAATAATCGAGGCAATGACCACAATCAAATCTGGGGGGAAAGAGAAAACAAGGGAGATCGTCAAAAATATGGTAATAAATGTATGAATGAATTCACTTCAGGTATGACACATTGTACTAAAGTGAAGCCTCACATTACTAGAATAATCTACGTTGTTGATCTACAAGAACAACTCATGACGTACTAAAAGGGGGAGCAAAGTAAAACAACACCAGGTGCACCTATGATTGATATGGGCTTCCTGATAAAGCTGAGGCGTCCTTTGATGCCGGAATATTTGCTGCGGCAGCCAGCCGACCACAGCCGAACCACGTACTCCGTGCCAAAGAACAGCACCAGCACGATCTCCTGTGAAACACAAAGTAAACACAGAGAGTACAGGGTTTACTTAAATCCATTGGTACAGAGGCAAATAAGTGGACGAGAGGATGTGGGAGAAGATAAGGTGTATAATTTCACATCACATCAAGCATTGATAACAATATGCCATGCATTCAGACTGATCTAAAAGCAGTAAGGCCGTTATAATCAATCAGCAAGATTGAGGATATGATACGACAGGGTAATGACAGGTGTGTGAGGCAGAGATAAAGGGAGACACTGAGGTGGTCTAGCAGTTGCGAGATCACCCAAGAGGAGAGATGAAGGTTGATAACATGGCCGATGACAGATCGTATTGAGACAGGGTCAATGGCTAAGTGATTGGAGCCGCAGGGTGAAATGCCATCACACTGCTGTCTGACTCATAAGAAGGCTATAAAATCTGTCTTGTTGCAACAGTCAACCTTTTTGCAGCGCTTACAAAACTAATAATGAAAAATGATAGCCTGATTTGGAGTTGGGTGCTTTTAAATTGTGTCCCAAATTGTGCCATTTTGCATTTATTTTTCATACATGTGTGTTTCTGTGAATTAATGAACAGACAGAGATCGCTTTCCAGGCCACCGTGCATGCATAATATTTAGCCACGGTACTGTCTGTTCAAGCCTAAAGGCCCGTGTGGGTGGCCATCTCGTTGATTGCTTGAACTAGCTGCTCCCTGACCACCCCCTTGTATGAAACTCAATATGTTGAGCCCTACTGCAATAACACGGCACCACCGAGCCCCAAAAACAATGAGCTGTCAATCAAAGCAGAACGCTACCCTGATGGCCAAAGTGTCGCTCTAGTATCAGCCCAAAGAGAAAGTGCACTAGTGTGTAGATATAATGACACTTTTGCAACAACGACTTGGTATATAACTTTTTGTTTTTATGTCAATGTAAAGCCTCCATCAGGGCCGTGACAGTGTGAGGACATTCAGATGGACGGATCCTTTTGGCTGCTTTTTTTTTAGCATTTTTCAGCTTGCCCCCGTTTCATTAACTAATCATGTTTACAGCTTTAGATTCTGTGCTTGAATGATCTGGCCTGACATTCCTATACCCTTCCATTCATCTATTGCTCATTTTCTGTCGCGGGGTTAAAGACAAAGAGAGAGGGACATAAAGAGGCTGAATTGAAGACAGAGACGGGCTGAAATGGTTCACTAAATCTCTATAACATAGCCTGATAAACAGACTGAATTACCATTCGGTTTCACTTCATTGGTTCAAATTTGAACCTCTAAACAAATCGGAGATCTGGGCAGGCATTCAGGGGTCTGGAGCCAAGCTACCTATAACATCCAGTTCAGTTGAACTTGACCAGTCAGCCATAGCCCTATTGTTTGTGGAGGAGAGTAACAGACTGGGTTTCAAGTCCATGTTGTTGTGTCTATAAAAACGCTGAATAGCCTAATAGACACTTGTGCCAATTTCTGATTATAACTGACAAATTTTGTGGGAAGTTTTCTCATATGATGCTTACGAACAAAACCTCCTGAGTTAACTTATAACTAGGGGTTAATATACTTTTTGGAAGAGGGGACGTTGTAGCCTAGCGGTTGTTTTGCGCAGCATGTACAGAGGCTAAGGTCCTCGCCACAGCGACCGTGGGTTAAAAACTGACACCTGCCCTTTGCTGCTCCTGTCTCTCTTCACTGTACCAGCCAATAAAGCCAAAAATATCTTAATAAGAAAAGTGGGAGAGAAGAAGGTAAGAGGTAATAGTGGACTGAGAAGGAAAAGAAGCAGAAGAAGAAAAGAAGTACAAGAAGAACAAGAACAAGAAAGAGAAGAACAAGAAGAAGAAACAATGTAGAATAGGATGAGGAGATGTACATGAAGAAAAAGAAGAAGAGTTATTAGAAGTAAGAGTAGAAGTAGATGTAATGAGAGGAGAAGAAGAACTACAAAAGGGAGTAGAAAAGAAGAACAAGTAGAATTATTTTTTTAAAATGGAAGTGAATGGAAGAAGACTGAAGAAAGACAAATGACTAAAACACAATTTAAATCAAATTAAATAATTCAAATGAAAAGTGAGCCCCCTGTCCGACCTAAACATCATCAGCACAGACACAAGAGCATACTGAATCCCGATTGATTGAGCTCGGTAGTTGTGGCATCTGGTTACCATTTGAAAGTCAAAGGTACACATGAATTTGGAGATTTGCAGAGATTAGTCATAATAATTCCATAAAATGGGTCGCCCAGATGTTGGTGTGTTTCTGTATGTGTATCAGTAACCGCCAACTACATGTTTACTGAAAATAGCCGCCTGTTCGCGCAGCGTTAATCTCATAAAACCGGGCGAGGATAAAGCTCGTTCAGAGAACTTGAGAATCTGATGCATATGTGATTCCATTGCTTCATCTGAGTGTGTCGCTGCACGTGCTTTACATCACCCATCACTAGTAGACAATGCAAAGTAATAACTTTGTTAGCCATTTAGGATACAATAAATAATGCTAATCCAATTTAAAATGCACATGCTTCTTTTTTTTTTTTTTTTACATCCTTACAGCAATTAATAATCAAATGCTGTGCGAAAAGAAACAAAAAGAAAAGAATATGGTATCTGTGGCTGTTGACGGCCTGAAATAAGTTGGTCTGTCCATCACTAAGTCCCAAGTCATTCAATTTCTTGCACAAGAGCAGAGTCTTCAACAAGCTCAAATATTGACACAAGTAGGAGAGAAGGGTAGTTTGATACAATTGAGAACAAGGATGTACCGCACTCCTAATCCCAACACTCTCGCTTGCACTTGTCCTGCACACACAGTTAGGAGGCGGGACATGTCCATGTGTTTGGAGGAGCGGCTTTATATTACTATGGTTGGCTGCTTTCAAAAGTTACACCTAAGTTGCTACCTGAGCCTTAAATAACAGCTGACTGACTGGCGGGATCTTTCGTATGTTTGATTGTATGTACTTGTTTGATGTATTTGTACCTTTTTGAATTTCTGGGGACTTTATGTTTAGTAGATTAAGTTCTAGTGTTCTTCTGCCTCTTTATCCTTGGTCAACCTTTTTTTGTTTGTCACTGAAAACATTTGAAACAATCATTTAGTCAACGTTGGTTGATGTTATATAATAAACTTTGGTATGATTTTATGTGGAGCTAATGGGTGTAAATGTTTTGATGCTATTTGAGCCTCTAACCAAAGGTAATCTTCTGTCACTATGGGATAGACAAGAACATTTTTTGAATCTTGAATCTTCTTATTGTTTCCAGTTTCAGATTTCTAAACTATCCATTTTAAGAATCCGACTCGGAAATACTTTCTAATCAACCCATGGCGACATTTGAAAATACAGACACTAGGGCCCCACCGAAACTGGATTTTTTTTGAGCTGATACCGACAATTGAAGGCACACAGTTTCAACATTCATGAGTGAGTTTAGTTTGCTGCTTAGCTGTGCATACTGTACAAAGCTGAGGCTGAACTAGAGCCACGATTTATGTATATTAAGACTTTTAATTGGAATTGGAAATGAAGCCCTTATAGAGTGACAGCAGAGGATGCAAAGAGTCTTTTAGAAACACGCCATGTACAGCAAAGCCACGCATACACTGCTGACCAAACAAGTAATAGCTGCTTGAACAGGGAAGTGTAAAAGATGCAGGCAGAAAAAATCCATGCGACATGTGTGTGACTCAGTGTGTGTGTGTGTGTGTGTGTGTGTGTGTGTGTGTGTGTGTGTGTGTGTGTGTGTGTGTGTGTGTGTGTGTGTGTGTGCATATTTCTGAACCTCCTGTCCAGCCTGGCTAGCTTTACTTTAGCAGCTGTCCTGAAGGCCAAATATCCTCAAGGACTAATGTCCCCTCTGCCTTCCAAAACAAGCAGCCAGTGATTCACAGATGTCAGGGAACATTGAACTTTCTAAGTATAGCTACTACCGCCACTATATGCCACCATGACTCCACTCATGGAGCTCCACCCCCTGGTACAAAAACACACATTTACTCTGGCTTAGGTGGTATTCACACCCACGCTCACAAGATAAGGTATTTATCTTATCTCAAAATGAATATTGAACCAAAACTTTGCAATAGAAATACCCATGCCAGGTGCACAAATAAACAGAAAAAAACTAAGTCGAATATGCGAAGGCTTTTTAATTTGTTCTTATTGCTAATGGGGCATATGACTGCTGGTGTACAAGTAATGAAGCAGCAAAAAAAGAAAGGCCAAAGGTGGTAGGAGGGAAGTGAAAAAAAAGAAAGCAGAGAAAAAAGAGAGGGAAAGTGGGTTATAAAAAAAAAGGTTGAGAGTTTCTGCTCCTTCTGGATACAAATAAATGAATAACCCTGATAGTAGGTCTTCAAAGTGCATTTGCCAAAAGTTTACAGAACACAGTGTCCTCTCAGTCCTGTGTTTGCCCTCAGGACTCAGGAGGTGGTACAGTACATGTGTGTGTTTTTGTGCTTGTGTATCTTTCCATGTCTGTGTGTGTGTACATGCAGGATTAGTGTGAGTGTGCGTGTGGGCGTGTGTGTGTGTGTGTGTGTGTGTGTGTGTGTGTGTGTGCGCGCAGCGACTACTTGTGTATTTATATTAACAGTGTGCTGGTGAGAGACAAATGATGCAAGCTCTTTGAAGAGTTTCCAAACAGGAGCTGTAATTTTCTCGACCTGTTGTAAGCGGCTGGATTTATTGCATCACTTAGCAGCCTTAATGGCCTAATAAGCCACTAAAAAGTTAATTCACCAGCAAGTATCAAGAAAGTGCAGTCAGTGTGGAGCCAAACTGGTGTGAGGTTCCAAAACAGTGGCTCCTGACCGATCCCATGCTAATTATGTAAAGTGCACACATGCTACTCAATGTAAAGGGCTTTCGCTGAACGCAACACAAGCTGGCAGGGTCTGTGCATATGCAATTACATAAAGGCATCAGTCTTTTTGAGCTTTGGAATAGCATACGGCTGCGGTGTAAGATGGCGGGGAGAAACTCCCAGCTTAGATCTTCTGTCTCCATCATGTGGATATTTAGGGGTACTGCAGGGCATCTATGAATTTTGATTTAATTTGATAAACTGTTTGTTAACTGTAATAAACATGACGTTAATTTGGTGTCGAAACTTTATTCACCTCCCGGTGGACACACACAACAGCCTGCAGCCAGTCTCGCCGCACATACACAACACACTGCGCATGCGCTGCCCCAGTTCAAGGTTCACATTAAAAAAGTAACATGGTAAGAGAGAAATACAAGTTAACACTATTAATCCCCTCGGGCTTACGTATATATATTATAGGGACATGCTTCTCACACACCTAGGCCTGAATCACACACATGCACAAACAGGACCTGTGGACCTGCATTAGTGGAGAGATGTCAGAGTGGGGCTGCTACAAGCTGCAAAGCAGAGAGCGCACCAGAGCATTTGGGGGTTTGGTGCCTTGCTCAAGGGCACCTCTGCAGTGCTCGGGAACTTCCATATTATGGTCCGCACCGGAACTTGAACCGGCGACCCTACGGTTCCCAACCCAGGTCCTTGTGGGCTGAGCTCCTGCCGCCTCCAAAAGCTTTAGACTAGCTCTTTCTAACTCTTTTATTTTGAAAAAAAAAAAGAAAAAAAGGTTTTGTTATGAAACAAAAAATAAAAGTCTTAATTGAAAAGGAGGCATCAGTATTCATTCCCTCAATACAGCAATTTTAATACCTGTATTCACAGATTAGATTGCCTATAAAGAGTGTCAAGAATTAATTTCATACTCATTAGAGTATGGTGCACATGGTGCGTGCGCACTCACCACTACACTATTTATAAAGTTTTATTTTTCCTCTTCATCAACATACTCTTTTGTTTTATAATCTTAGTTAAAAAGGTCATTTTGTTGCATTAGTTTACACCTTCAGCCTAATCATCCATTTGGACTTGGGAGGCTGGTACAGCACATCTGGCTGTAGATGTTCCGCCTAATACATTTTTGATTATGGTGGATTTGACATAATATTTGCTGTTATTTCATGTCTTATAATGTATTAAAGTAATGTATCATATCAAATAAATATTTGTTGATATGGCCGCAGTGCTCGTTGTTTTTTGTTGAAGTTTTTTTTGGGGGCCTTTTTGCTTTCATGAATAGGACAGCTGAAGAGAGACAGGAGTAGTGCAGGACGACACGCAACAAAGTGCCGAGGCCAGACCTGAACCCTCAGCCGCTCTGATGAAGACTATAGCCTCTGTACATGAGGTGCGCGCAACATAACCACTAGGCTATCGGTGCCCCGTAATCATTGGTTCTTCAGAAACTGTGTCAAATGTGCTGCTAACCATCTTGACTAAGACACTCTTGGAAAAGAGGTTTTAATCTCAACCTGTTTTTTATTCCATTCTCTGGTCAACAAGAGCAGCACTTTTGAGGTGACATAACTTGGAATGTACACCCCGTGTGAGTGACAACAGAAGTAGTCAACGTTTTACGTTTTGTGCATGAGCATAAAAAACTCACCATCCAGAAGAGGGTTCCTGTGGCGAAGTCTGCATATTGCTCTATCGTGGACAGCACACTGAAGATCAGACACACCAGGACCATGACGAAGCTGCAGGGACACAAATCAGATTTCACTGTACACATTCACCACATGACTCAGTATGACTCAGTATATGACTCAGTATGACTTCAGTATATGACTCAGTATGACTCAAATGTACTTTCTCTTCATTTTAAAAACACTCAGTTTATTTATCTAAAAAAATATCTTACAAGCGAGGCGCCAGTAGGCTAGGGGGTAAGTACGCGCGGCTCATATAAATAAATAGTATGCTGTGATTTTAACCTCAATGTAAAGCACATTGAGCTTATCTGTAATGAAATGTATTATATAAATAAATTAGCTATTGCTATTGCATTAGTCCTCTATGCAAGCTTCCCGGGTTCTAATCTGACCTGTGGCTCCTTCCTCGCATGTCTCTCTCTCTCTCTCCCTGATTTCTGACTCTGTCCACTGTCCTGTCTCTAAATGAAGGCAAACAAAGCCCAAAATAAAATGTTTGAAGACTCCACAGCCGGTAGATAATTGTTTTGTATCGCTATCCCCAGATAAAAATTATAACAAGAAATGCACTTGTTGTATGAAAGAACCAGACCTTCATTCTGATATGTTAACCTGTGATTGCCTTCATTTTAAAAAAAAATGTCTTTATTTGTCCCAAATGGCAAACGGCATAACGACACATCAGTAGAAAATAAAAACACATACAGAAACACTCTTGGGTTAGAGGATGGAAGCTATCACCCAGAATGGAGACTCCTTTCACTAAGAACACACATGTAACAGTGATTGTGCTGCAGACATGAACCATCTCAATGAACCACTACATGATATGTTTACAAGCAGGTTTAAAAAAAAAAAGGTGTTCCAGCACCTTCTCTATGTTTCCTTTTTGTCATCAATCTGCTTGTATTAACACCTGACAGGATGTTTCCACGTCTCCTAGCAACAGTGAAACATTCCAACGAGACGCTCCATCTGTCAGTGTATATGCATAATCTACAAATACAGCCAGTGAGTGAAACGTCCGCTACAAGACACCTGAGGTAAAAGTAGAGGAGGAGAGAGAGAGAGAGAAGAGGGGACATGTGGTGGGACTAATGAATGCAGAGATACCTAATTACACCTATTTTCATTATCAGTTTATTTGCTTATTATCCAATCAAAAAAACATACAAGATTATTAAAATATTAGCACATTAGTATTCTCCCATTTTTATTATTAATAAATCAACTTATTGTTTCAGATAGAAAATATGGCATTATTTTTTGTTCATTTATTTTATTGATATAATGGATTGAGGTGGATGAAAAGATTTTTTAAACAGAATTTTAAAAGCTCATGGTAGTCCTTAAGATCAAGATCAACTTTTTGATTAAAAAAGAAATATACAATTTGAGATCAAAACTAAGAAGCATTGGCTTTTTCCTTTGGGGGCTTTAACACAGTTAGAAAACAGCAAACAAACTCATACAGATGACTTTACTAGAGGCGTTTTCCAAACTAGTTCCAACTATTAATTGTAATGTAGGCTGTAGTCTTCATAAATTCATTCTCAATTAAAAAAAATAAAGTCCATGAGGGGCATTGCGCTGTCATTTCCGACCCCTAGGGATTAAAGGAATCGCCCCCCGTGTTCATTTTCACCCTCCCAGAAATAATCCTTGGTGCACATCTTTTAAGAGCTGTTACATGACATTCCATGAGCGTTTGCATGCACCATCATCATGATCAAGGTCACGTTAAAAACACACAGCAGTGGGTGCATTATGATACTGTGTGATACAGGGGGGGATTACATGCCATGACCTGGAAGGGTTACATAAGTGTCTGTTGTTTACCATCATTCATGGAACATACTAAATAATGCAGGGACCTATACACTCCTAATCCAGAACAACATACTTGCAAATGTTGCTTTCACAAATCCACCAGCAAAACTGAGTGTTCAGTGTGCTTTACTTTAAGATCATGTTGAATTATTGGGGTCTCTCAGGGGGGTAGTCTGAGACAAACAGGGTTCATTGAGTTTAAGAAGTACTCCACCTTACACACAGACTGCGACACATTGGCCAGATGGGACGCTGACTTTACTCTATAAGGAGGATTACCGCTCAACACCACACACAACACGTTCTTTCCGGGTCTCTTCAATGCCGTTTGAAACACAAACTGACGCTAAAATAACCTGAGCACTTAGTTCAGTGTGACTTGTAATCACTACGACAATAAAGGTGAGGCACAGCGTCTGAAAACTAGGGAAAACCTGATGATGCTACTTTGGTTTGGTGTTCTGTTTACTCCATACTACTGGACAGTATGTGTTTGTGTTGATCATCCAGCCTTCATCACTGACATCAGCCCATCAGAACTTTGGATGCCGGAGTGGCACCTCAAACATCCACTGACGTTTCATGGCTAGACAAGTGCTTGGTGTAATGACCTCGACATATGGGACTGACAAATAACTCAGCCTAGTGCCTCTGTAGGGTGGACAGTGCTACTCAGGGCAAATGATAAAGAGCCCATGATGCCATTGTAATGCAAATGGAAACATGACAGGGCACGGAAATTAGAAAGAAGCCAGTTGGATTGTAGCTGTCATAAATAGAAAGCTGCAAAAGCTGTCTTTTTGCTCAAAATGTGGTGTAGGTACCGAGACATAGAGTTGGGACATGGATTAAAAACTGTTTGTATTTCGACACAAAGGGACATGTGCAATCACGAAAGACTGCTTAAAATTCCACTACAAGGACATCGATCTCATTTACATGCATTCACACTTAGAATGTGAATATTTGACCAATCAGACTCAGCTAAGCAGACATGATTCATGCATTCACATCAATTGGCCACTATTGAAACAATAGGATTATTTTGGATTGCAGGGAGAAGGAATTAAAACACATTTAGAAATTGCAGAAATGTAATCACTATAGCTGATATTCATATTATTGCACGCCATATTAGTTATGAGATGCGCTTTATACAGGAAATAAAAAATTGCTCTTACTTTTACTATCACTCTCTGTATGCAGCCACTGGCCGAAAGAACTTCTATTTGTGTTACAAGTGGTTGCCCGGCTCCCAGCCTGTGGCATTAACAGCCTTTAAGGAAGGCTAAGCGGGGGCAGGTTAAGATAAGGGCGAGTAAGGGCAATTCAAAATATGTTTCCCTATACTACATCCAGAGTTCACGTTCTGTACAAGCAGTGGGATAAATGTCAGAATTCAGGTCACCAAGTACAACAACAACAAGGCTGCAGCTTTTGGTGGCTTGAAAAGGGAAATACACATTTGTTGTTGTTTTTTGCAAAGCTTAAAAAAAGAACCACATCAGATGCTGTATATATTAAGCCTGCATGATATGCCATGTGAGATATGGATATGATTTGCAATAAGTCAACACAATTGTGAGAGTACATTTCAGCTATAACTCAAAGTTGAATAGCTAACTACAAATTAAATATAACTACGTTTTAAAAAGTTCTAGTTTTATCTGCTATTCTTCATGTTTAACACGATACCTGCGTTCATAACATGTCCCTCTGGAATGGAACAATAGGTCCAAGAAGCAGAAACTATTTCTCTACTTAAATGGCACCAATTAATCTGAGGGCAGCTGATATCTAGCTTCATCTGACTGCATCAAACTGGTGTGCAAGCATGGCCATTATACCCAGGCCTCTATCCAATGTATAAAATGTAACCTTGTCAAGTGAAAAATATGGTCTATTTTACAGATGAGAGAATTGATTCTACATACAATATTCTTCTTATGTAATGCAATAAAGTCAGAGTTTTGCATTGTGTTTATTACAAATGGTCATGTTGCAATAACAAATGATGATTTAATTTGCAGCCCTACTATTAGGGCTGGGTATTTCCCACAACCCAATACGATCACGATACAGAGGCCACGATGATATGATAAATATCGTGATATACATTGATTTTGGATAATGACCATGTCCTACACAGAATTTACTACAACAGCTGTTCTTCATTGTTGAGAATAACAGCAGAGGCATTTTAAGGATCCTACAACTTAAAACACTTCACTTCAGGTCCTCAGAGATCCTATGAATACATTAAACTATTTTAATCCCGGAGCTATAGTTATGGTGTAATTGTGAACTGCACCATAGGTCAATTATCTTTCAAAACTGTCATCTCAGCGATTCACATGAGGATATATTGCCATATCGATTTTTTGAGCACAGCCCTTGTGTATATAGTACAAGTATAGAAAAAATATGGTCTATTTTTACAGATGAATATTTGGGATGTTCTGAGCTCGCCATCAGGATCAACATCAGATCATTTAATCTCTGTCTAAAATATCATTATCACCACATAAAGTTAAAATTCCTATTATGTAATGTTAATGTTCTTCATTATTCACTGTCAATATCTCTCAATTTGTTCATCCCATGAAAAAATATGGCATACTTTTGAAATGCTCTACATATTTATTTACATATCTATGTTAAATTGTATTTTATTTATAGTGTTTACTTATAAAAAATAACATTAAGCAACGTTATCCAATTAAGTGAGGAGGTCAGAGGTAAAACATGCAAACAAATAGCTAAGACTTGAATGTGGTGGGGCTTTAAGTGTGCACACAGTTTCTCTTGACACATACAAGGTTTCCTGGGTTAAACCAAACAAAACAAACATCCCATGTGAAAACCACGACAAAACACATGGCTGATATTTTTTAAGGTGGCACACATTCAGTCTGTCTATAGCTAGAGTCTGTGATTTAGCATTTTCAGAATGTCATATCCATAATCTTTCTGCAGCGACACCACAGGGAGGTGTTTTAGCTTCGGACAGGACTGGGTCACTCACAGCCATTAGCCAACCTTATTTAGCCAGGCCAAAACCCCTGGGATCTGATTAAAACATAACAGCTGGGGCTTTAGTGAGTATTACTGACTGCAGATCTGTTCAGCTTCACTAAAATAAGTACAGTGTGGAGCCACACCACCAAACCAAACCCTCTCAATCAAGGGGGAAACTAAGGCAATATCAGCTTAGA